TTCGTTTTGAGTAGCTGAAGAACCACCGTAACCTCCTGTACAAAGAAGTGCTCGTCGAGCTCTTCGTTAGGTCCGCCAGTATACTCGGTGTTCTTTCTCTAAGCCTTCGGGGCGAGTGAGGTGCGTCCGCACGATCTCGTCCCTGAGGGCTTCCGGGTCGTCCTCGTATTTGTGCCGCCACTTGGCTATCTTTGTCCGAACTGCCATTTTGGAACTGGCGGGATCTAGCAGCTGCTTCAGGATCTTCCAGGTGCGTCCCGCGCTCATATATTCGTCCATGGTATTGGAAAGCTCTTCCCATTCCTGCTCGCATAAGCGGGAACAGTGAGTCTCGATTTTGCGGTTGACTTCGGGGCTTTTTTTCTGTAGCTTTTTATTAAAATTCTGCTTGCTTACTCTGTGCTGCATCAATTTTTTTGGCCAGGATGAGGTGCACCAGATGGCTGTCCACTCTGGTTGGGTCAAGGCTTCAGTTCTCTGGCCGCCCGAGCCTTCCTCTTTCCACTAGTCTGTCCATTCTATTTCTTTAGTGGCTTTTTCCACGTCTGCCAGGATTTCCTTGCACCATGACCTTTTTTTTGCAACTATCCCTGATGAGGTCTTCCTTCTCAATGTTCCTGTTTTTGCAAAATTCGTCCCAGTCGACGATCCTGACTTTGCGATTTGCGCTTTTTTCTGCGTTCCTGCCAACGACCAAGTTGAGGATTCGATGATCGCTTCCTAGGTCTTCGAACGTATTTTCCCAGCTCGCCACGTCCATGTTAACGCACATAAAGAGGTCCGGGGTCGTGTTGCGGCACACACCCTGCCCGATTCTGGTGTGCGACATTGGCTCGTTTAGCAAGGTGAGGCCGAGGTTGTCCACTAGTTCAGCCAGCCTCCTCCCCTTGGGCGAGGCGTTGCGGTATCCCCAGTGCGTGTGCAGGGCGTTAAAGTCTCCGCAATTCAACAAGCGTTTGGAGGCGGCTTTCGCCATCGCTTCGCGGAAGAGGCAGTCAAAGTTGTGAGTGAGACCCCGCTTAGAGGGGGTGCGGTAAACGTTGATGACGAACACCTTAGCTGTTATGCCCTTGCTTAGTGTGATTTCTATTAGAGCATTATCGATGTCGCTCGACACGTCCACCTTGTGTTCAACAAACGCTATTCCCCTTCTTACAATGATGCACATCGTGATGCTTCGCCCCGTGCTCTCTGAAAACGGACACTGCATGACGTACCCCGGAAGCTTGGCGTGGTTATAAGGCTCTTGTAAGGCAGTCACATCTGGAAGTTTCTTTTTAGAAAGTGTTTCTATGTACTGCATTATCGTAGTTTTTTTGAAGCCTCAGCAGTTCCATTGTCAGACGATGAGTCTGCCGTTATGCACGCGTGCCGTTGTGCACGCCTTGGTCATGCGAGGGTGTAGTAAGAGCTCGACTAACCGTGCATTCCTTCCGCTCTAGGGCGGCTGACATTGATTTTACTGCTTCTGTGGACGATTGTCAAAATTCGAGTGACGGGAGGCGGGGCATCGACCTTTTCTGGAGGCTGCAGCTGCCCCTTTCTTTGTTCTACGTCTTCTAATTGCTCGTTCATAGCCAGAAGTTGAGTCTTTACGGCTGCGTGTTGCACATTCCGTTTGGCGTCGGACTCGTTCAGCCTCGTGAGAAGCATTTGAAACATGCGTTCTGTCTTATCCACCAACTTGTCGATCATTTGCTTGAGCACGTCTACTTTCTTGGCATTTGACCTGGGTCTCATCGATTATTGCCTGTTCTCTGTGTCATCCGCTCGCGCGCCACTCTGATTTTTGCGTTTGGACCCAACTGTCGGTCCTTCTACGTCGAGCATGTCAATCTCCTCTTCAGCTGCTGCACTGGTGTACATGGGCACACGGTGGGTGTTGGCTCCTCCGGCGTGTCCCGCCATGTGCTTGAAGATTTTATTTAGCGTTTTTTGCAACTCGTTGATCTTCTTTGCCGATTTGTCGCTTTGTTGTCTCGCCCTGCTCAGTTCATCCCTTATTTCTCTGTTCTTTTTGTCTAACTTCTCTAATCGCATCCCGATTGACATGTTCAAGGTCTTCTGTAGGTCTTCGCGGAGTGAGATCCCTTCCGGACTTCTGCTTTCTTGAGCTTCCAGGTGTCACCAAGACACCTTGCATGATCCCTTCGGCTTTCCGCCAGGTGGAGGCTGCCCGTTGCCCGATGAAAAACTGGGCTCGCTACTTGAGTGTCGTGCACCATGGCTACGGCTTCGGCTGAGGCTTTTCCTTCTACTGCGAGGCCTCTTTTTTACCGCCAGTGAGGGGAAGTGGGGGTCAAGGGCTCTGTTGCGTTGTTGGGAGCCGGACCTTGATCTCGTACGGCTTCTTCATGGGTGACGTTGCGATGGGTGATGCTGCGAGAGGGCCAGGTACTGGTCCCCCACGCATTCTTCGGGAGTGAGTGCGTCCTCTTCGGGAGTGAGTGAGTGCGCAATTTTCGGGAGTGACCCGTCATCTGTGTTTTTTTGTGAGCCATATCATCGCCTTTACTACGCACGGAACCTTGTTCTTTGCTTTACACGTGTGATTGGCCATAGGGTGGGCTTCCCCGCAGATTTTGCACCTTGACGAGCATTTCTGCGCGGTAATTGGGTTTTTCATGCCTCAAATCAGACAGAGTTTGACTTCCGGTCTCGGGCACACGTCAGCTCTGTGACCGAGTCTTCCACAATCTCGAGAGAAATCGAGTTGCTTCTAGCAGAGTAGGTAGCTCGCGACTGTTATCATTAAGCTGTTAAAGTAAAGTAAACCCACGTCGGGACTCTTTTCCTTCCTGAGCGGAATCCTGAGCGGATTCTTGGTAACTTGCCTGCCATCTCCTCGTCGGGCATGCTGGCAACCAGAATCTTTTGAGTGTAGTTGGGGCAAATTGTGAAGGTTTCATCCGCATTTATGCCAGCCATTCTCCTGATCGTTTTGCCACCCGCCCACCGTGCGGAGGTTCAGGCCATTCCGTAGTCTCATGATCACCTGAATGTTTCCTTTTGGCAGCCTCGGCATTTTACTCGTACGTAGAGTTTTCTTCACAATGCCTCTTTTGCGGCCGCGCATTTTTGTCTCGCGCTGCAGGAATGGTTCGTCATCGCGCCGAGCTTTGTGGCGTTTTTTCCGTCGCATAACTTCAATCCAGCCGTCGGCATCCGTCTCAGCTTCAGGTAGGTTTGTGACAGTGTTTCTATCGTCGTGCCCATCCGGAGTGTCGTCAGACGCTGTTTCGTCCACCTCCATGATTGGATCTTTTCTGTGGGGCCTGCCGTATGGCGCCCGCGAGCAGTGGACGTGGTCTAGCTCGGTCAGAACGGCAGTAGCCCTAAAACGCTTCACACTCGTTGCCGATGTAAATGTGGTCGTAAAAGTCTCAAAAAAAATTCCGCCATATCCACGAAATGAATGATGATGAGTGGGCGAAGCTCCGGAGGTAAACCTGGTAAACCATGAATCCTCTGTACATTTTGCCCACTCGATTTTATTACATCGCTCCCCCTAGCGTACGTCGCCGCACTAAATCGAACGATTGCCTTCAACCAATGACACGCGCCATATGTGATATCATTCCTATTTTATAAGATCTCGCGTCTTTCATCAACTACAAGTACCGCTTTCTAGTTTATAACATCTTGCATCTTTTCATCATCAGCTACAAGTACCACCATCTAGTAAACACTACAAGAACTAAACGAGAGGTGGCTACATACAGGAGACGGTACCGCCATCTAGTGAACACTGCAAGAACTAAACTAGAGGTGGCTACATACAGGGGACGGTACCGCCATCTAGTGAACACTGCAAGAACTAAACTAGAGGTGGCTACATACAGGCTACAGGGGACGCACAGCCCACGCCCTAAGGAGCTTCGCCCCTAAAAGGCACCCTCACCGTGAAACTTGGTGTCCCCGGGTCCGCGTGGTCACTCGGGAGCTCATGGTAACCAACCAAATTTCGATCAAGGCACTGAAACTCCTGCTAATTCATTCGAAAACTGCAGAGACGAAGTGAGGTGCATCCGCTCGCAACGCCGCCTGCAGAGTCCATATATATATATATATATATATATATATATATATATATATATATATATATATATATATATATATATATATATATATATATATATATATGTGTGTGTGTGTGTGTGTGTGTGTGTGTGTGTGTGTGTGTGTGTGTGTGCGTGCTCTCGCAATCGGCCTAGTGAGTGAACCTCAGATGTTGCTCAACCATCTACAGTCATTACAGTGCTACATAGCCACAGCTTTACTGCATGCATTGAAGCTCATATCCGTTTTGTTGAGGGAAGAACTTATTTCCAAACCAGTTGTATGCTACTGATATATTGGCGTGATGCGCAAACTGCAAGAATAAAAGAAGACAAAAATAAATTTCTGCATTCTCTCCTTTCGTTCTTTTTCTTCTTTTTTCTGCTTAACCACCGCACGATGATTGTCCGCAGCTCTTTTCCACTAACCTAACATTTTCGCGTACTCTGAGGGTCACGCCTAGGAGCACTAAGTTTTTTTGTGTGAAAACAACAGCTTTAACCAACTGCGTGGCCTTCGACGTCGCGCTTATTAAATAGCTACAGCTTATCGTGCCTCGATAAACTTGCATCAGTAAAACTTGTAGCTGGGTGAGTTCGTTCATAATTTTCGGTAAACTGGTGTACGAAAATATAGACAAAGCCACAAAAAAAGGAGACGGGGACAAGCGCTCATCCCTGTCTTTTCTTTTCTGTGTCTTTGTGTGTATTCGCGCACACCCGTTTACCCACAATAAACTTGCATGATGCAGATCTCAAGCGTTTGGCTTCAGATTGCATGTCTTTCTTGAGTGAGGTAGCGAGACACCTCCATGTCTCGAAACAGAGATGCGAAGCGCAATCGACGAACCGTTTACGTTTGAAGCAAGCGCGCAATAATGCATATTGGTGCTGCTTGTCACTGACAAGTGCAACAAAAGAGAAAGACAGGACTGTTTTTACCTTTAAAGATGGGGCATATCTTCCAGACGCCGAGGCCGCCGATGCTCAAGAACTGTCCGAGTGACGTCTCAAGGAAGAATGTGGGAATACCCGCCAGGAATAAGGTCAGCAGGTAAGGAACCAAGAACGCTCCTGTGGAAAGCACAAATCATCCATCACTGAAATGGGGTCAAGAAGAACGAACTTCATGCGCAGCCACGGCAACAGGAAACGAAGTACTAAAATAACACTGCCGAAGCACGCCATGCAAATGATTAACCAGCGAAAGTTGCAATGGGTGGTCCCGGTGTTTAGCAGTGGGTTCCACACAACGTCGCAATGAAGCCTTTCGCAATTACAGGTTACATATTCGTGCTTCCTAAACAGGTTAGACGCACTTTTGACTTGGGTGTTTATTTTACATGCCGTACATTGTGCCTCACGTGATCACGGTAATGGAGCAGCGTAATGAAGGGGTAAAACGTTCTGCAATGCATTATTCACAGTGGCTGCTCTCGAATTCCAGGTGGTCAGAGACATCGCAGGAGAAGCCAAAGTGCCACTAGAGAAACTTCCGCTGAAAGTGGACTGTATTTTGCCGCTTGCATTTGAGGCTTTCATGGTTTGTCGTCTCGTAACGGACCATTTTTTATCTCCTGAAATAGTTTGCCAGTGTGCTGTCTAGCGGCTCCACCTCCAACATCGATTGCACACTCTTTGATTATCATGGTAAGATTATCGTTCATTGTATCAACGCTAACGTCGGTTACCCCGTTTAGTGCCTCGAATCTACTCTGAAGAAAAACTGAATTGCTGTACTTTCCCTCTCACCTACAGCTCAATAATTGCCTTGTTGCGTATCAGCTTTTAAAAACAATACTCTTTCTCGGAGACCTTCGACAGAAAAATTTCCGTCTGTCTGTCTGCACGATTGTCTGTTTGTCTGCACTTAATGATACCTTAAACGGCACCAAGCGGCCGACCCCATCCGACGCGCCCACCAATATTGCTAAAGATTCAGCGTTCTTAGTTGTGCGATTGTCAATTAAAAAGCTATTATTGCGAATATCTGAGGCGCCATAACAACACGTCGATGCTTCGTATGTGTGCCTTAATACTAGAAGCAGCACACACAAGTAACTTTAAGGACTGTTGCGTTTATCGCGTTGCTCTGACAGTGCAGCGCGATGCTCAAAAATATGCGCGTTTCCAACGCTTTGCCAAAACCGCGTGGTGGTGGCAGCTGCCCGTTGTTTTGCATTGTACACCTTATTACCTCCGAGACGTGCACGCGTCTTTCTCCGCAAGTGCGCACGCCTTCGTTTTCGAAGATAACTGCCAGATGGCACTCGAGTCTAACGTGCCTCGATGCGCTCGTTTGCCTCCGCTATATGCTCGAGGCACTCTAACGCGGCTCCTCCAGAATACCATTCACCGATTTTCTTGCACAGAACATCAAATAAACGTTTTGTTCACTCTATCCAGAGCGTCTTTCGATGACATTTGCAGTGTAATGTGGAGATTCGGGACCAATTTTCGTCTTTGCTTTGTTTAGGTGAATACGAGCTCTTGCCATTCTATGGCCATGGCATCGGATCTCGTCAACTACTTCTGCATTCTGTACAACGCCTCGGTGTGAACACAGAACGAAGTGTATTTCATTTTATTTTGGAAATCAGGACTCCGTCACGTCCACTTACAGTCAGCCCGTTTTCCGAAAAAGGTACAAGATTCGCAAATTATTACGTTCTTCGTACTCTACTGTTGACTCCCCTCCGGCATTTCTAGAGCCAATCCCATATTCCTCCACTGCATAGTCTCCGGCCTGTTTCGTCCCTGCTATGGCATTAAAGCCGCACATCAGAATAGTATACCGTGACTTTAATAGTGGCTGACTCTACGTCTTCATTGAAGAGTTCAACCAAATAACCATCATGGCTCGCTGCAGACACATGGGCCTGTACCAACTTCATTTTTTACCTTTCCTTAAATTCATTTATGACATTTTGCACCCTCTCACTGAAGCTACAGTATTTTTTTTGTTGCCAGTTATAATATTGTGTATATGAAGCCACATCCCTGGTTATTTTCTGTCAACTAATCCATCGTAGCATAGGACGTGTCCGTTATTCGGCACTGTATAGGCCTCACGTATCTTCCTAACTTCTCTGAGCCCTATTACATCCCATTTAGCACCCTCTAATTTTTCGAATAGCACAGCTAGACTAGGCTTACTAGATAGCGTTCTAGCGTTGAAGGCAGCCAAGTTCAGATTCCAATGGCGCCTCTCCCGACCCGAAATTTTTAGCACCCTCCGCTACGTCGCACGACTGACCGCCGCCTTGAACAGTTGCTTTGCAGCCGCTGCGGACTCAGGGCCAAGGGTTAATTGTCGTATTCATTGTAGGTTGTGGTGAGGTGTTGCACCCGAGTGGCCAATCTTGCTCTGGCCATGGAGAGTCTTACCGGTGACTGCAGACATTTTGTTTTTTTTGTCTTTTAATAACGATTCCTTCATCTCGCGTTTAAGTAAATATACGATTGGTAATGGTCCGACGTCTCCATTCGAACCAAATTTTGTCATTTCGTGCTAGGTTGCTGCGCCACCACTAAGTATAGGGCTGCGTTCCCTTGCTTAGCACACTTGAATACTAACTCACCACCTATAAGCTCTCTAGGTCATTTGACTCGTAGCTCGCCTGGATTTTTTCTCTACTATTTAAAAGTCTATTTTAAAAAACGGGCACGCTCTCGAACCTTTAACCTTTTGAGCTTGGGCCGGCTTAGTGTCCTGGATGACGTTCCTTCTGGCGCGTTTATTCTCTTCGAGATTCTGCCTGTACCTCTCAATTCTGGCATTAATAGCTTCAAAGTGTCTGGAATGTCGCAGTTTTGCCGATTTCGAGAGGCCGCACTGCCACTTCGACGTTTCGATCAACTGAAGACGTTTTGCGTGCTTGTTTTGAATTGGCTACATCTATGGGATTGATACGTTGAGCGTGCCCCGTCGCGGTGGTCTAGTGGCTAAGGTACTCGGCTGCTGACCCGCAGGTCGCGGGTTCGATTCCCGGCTGCGGCGGCTGCATTTCCGATGGAGGCGGGAATGTTGTAGGCCCGTGTACTCAGATTTGGGTGCACGTTAAAGAACCCCAGGTGGTCAAAATTTCCGGAGCCCTCCACTACGGCGTCTCTCATAATCAAATGGTGGTTTTGGGACGTTAAACCCCACAAATCAATCAATCAATTGATACGTTGAGCGTATACGTCACGGGTGGACGCAGTTCACGATATTTCACAGCAAGCTCGGCGTTAAATGCACTTCTGTTGCCCGGATTCATAGGCTTGGAAGATCAGAATCGAATAGGCCGATTATCTTGTATCTTAAAGACTTCACCGAAAAGATAGCTGTGCTGAAAAAGGCGAGCAACCTAAAGGGAACTAACATCTTTGTTCAGAACGACTACTTAAAGCAGACGTTGGCAAAACGTAAATTACTGTGGGAAAGTGCAAAAGCCGACAAAGAACAAGGCAAGAAGGCATTTTTGGTGCATGATAAGTTGCGTGTAGGTGATGATCTGTTTATTTGGAATGACGTAACAAACAAACGTCAGTTCATTGGAAGCCGTCGGTGTGCCACGGCATCGCCTCAGTCTATCGGCAGTGCACCCGATAACGAAAGTACGGGTAGCAAGTGTTGACCAGCTGCGCAGAAGCAAGTTAGACTGATTAATATGAATGCTCGAAGCATTGGAAATAAAACCGAACAACTTGAGGCTGTACTTTTAGCATACAACCCTCATGTAGTTGTAATAACGGAAACGTGGCTCCACAGCGAAATGTGTGACCAAGACTTAGTGCCTCCAGCTTATGAAATGTACCGCAGAGATAGGGCCTCAAGAGGTGGTGGAGTTGCAGTACTTGTTAAAACAGGAATTACTGTCACCCGTTTACCGGACGTTGAAAGTACAGAAAGCATATGCCTGAGGCTTCCACACTTCAATAAGTCTTTTGTATTGTATGCAGTGTACAGGCCGCCGAATTCGTTGCCGGATTATTTGTTTAACTTGAAAACCCATATGGAAAATTACAGTAATTAAAAGCTAATTGTCATCGGCGACTTCAATCTGCCTAATATTGACTGGAACCAAATGCAGCCGACATCAGATTTGATTAATGCAAATATACTGTTCGATATAATGCTTTCCCACAATCTCGCCCAAATTGTTCAGCAACCAACACGTGTTGGTAATGCTTCGTCCACGTTACTAGATCTTGTGTTCATGCATCGCACTATTCTTGATTGCTGTGTTTGTGTTGAACCCGGCTTATCTGATCACGACATGGTCACAGTTTCTTTTCCCTTGCATTGTAATCGCTCCAATAGCCCACCTAACTCTAAACAGGTCAAAAATTTTTCCCGTGCTAACGATACGAGCATCCAAGATTATCTTGAATGTGAATTGGTGCATTTTGATGGCGACGACGCTGCTGTTCTCTGGGATAAGTTTAAGAAACTATGCTTCCACTGCATTGAACTGTTTGTACCTAACACAACAAAAAAAACCCCCAAAGTTCACACCATGGATCACAAGGCCAATAATACAAATGAAGCGTAAAGCCAAGCGCTATCGGAAAAAAGGTGCTCCCGCTAACATTCTCAGGGAAATTCGTAACTCCCTTTCCGCAGCTATTAAATGTGCCAAGAATTTTTATTTTACTGTCAAGTTACAAAACTTCATCAAAGAGGCATGATGATGGATGGTAGCGCAGACAACGAACACGGACAAGAGAAGGCACATAGACACAACACAGCGCTAACTTTCAACAACAGTTTATTACACGCAGATCTCCGTGGTGTATGCGATCCACCACGCCAACGTCGCACGTGCGTAGCTCTAAAAACCATCAAATATAACCAACGCGCGTGTTCCAATACTTTACAATTTTATATTTTTCAATCTTTTTTTACTTTTTCTTTCTTCCTTTTATCCCATGTTACCACAAACCCTATCGCGAATACATGTAATCAAGTTCCTTATCTGTCAAAACCACTGATGGGCTGCTCACACACGTGTCACCTAGCTCTGCAATTCTGCCGGCCTCCAATACCAACCGCGTCATCTCGTGCCTACTTCTATTGATTATAACCGTTT